TTAAAACTCGCCTGAAGAATTTGTGATTAAATTTTAATTCTGTTTCACAGTGTTAAGAATCTTTGTTTTAGTCCTGACTTGAGCCAATTTGTAAAAAAAGTATTGTTACTGAAATTCGCTCATGAATAAAGACCTTATTTATTTATTTATTTTCCTGTAGCACATAAAATAGTGTACACACTAATGCGTTCCCTTAGCTCTAGACCCACACACTGCCTTGTTATACGGTCTAAGGAACAAAGTGCTGTCAAAGAACGACGCTCAGCTGGTGTTCGCGTATCACAGTAGTTCTCTCGGCGCGGGTTCCCTATTCCGCAGGGCGACTGTGGATTTTGTCTTCAACAACGGCTGGTTTCAGCCAGGGTGTAGCAAAAGTAAGTATTGGGCGCTAATTTAAATTATCATCTAACTAATCTGGTTTGTTACTTTTTCTGTCCAATTGAAAAGCCGGCCACGGCCAATATTATCATCAATGTGATTGACTATTAGCACAGACAATAGACCATTGATTGTGTCTACAGAAACCCGTACACATACTTTTACGGGAGTACGTTTTCACATAGAAACGCGCAATAAAACTATTCCCCCCTAAATCACATACGAAGAATCCATTTAAAATCCTTCAAACATGATCCAAGCACAGGTTGTTCCAGAAATGAAGGTCACGGGTTCAAATCTTGAAATTTCCTTATGTAAATCTACCACATTGTACATTTTTAGAAAGGTGTTACTTAAAATTCTTTTCAAAATGGTAAATTTTCGGGTTTTTTTGCATATTGACGTAATACCTTATATTTACGAAACCGCAAAACATTTTTGTGTTCTGATTGGAAATTCGTAATCCTGGTGAACACAGCGTTGCAATGATGTGTCACATGTAATAATTATTGAAATGAAAATATTTTGACATTTTATTTTTCTGTAATTTTGTTAGCCCTGTAAATAAGAAAAAAAAACTTAAATTGAAGCATATGTCAAATAGCATATAATGTGAAGCGTCAAAAGAATTTAGATAATTGAGCTATGTTTTCAGTAACATGTTGCTCTAAGCAAGACTTTTCTAAAATGTACCATGTGATATAGATTGGCGTAAGGAAATTTCGAGATTCGAACCCGTGAACTTCATTTCTGGAACACCCTGTGCTTGGCTCGTGTTCTAAGTACATTAAATGGATTCTTCGTATGTGATTTAGGGGGGAATAGTTTTATTGCGCTTTTCTAGGTGAAAATGTACTCCCGTAAAAGTATGTGCACGGGTGGTCTGATTCACCCTGTATAGTTTGTGCTATTGGATACTGTAGTCATAGATTTTGTATACTGAAGTATACATTCCAACTGTATAGACCACATGTAGGAGATTGTAATAATAACAGAACGCAGTCGAATTATCCACTTTTAGACTGAGCTAGTACATGTATATAATATATATTTTTAAATACCTTCGTCGATTTAACGGGTGAAGATTCAAATACTCAGAATACTTATTTGTGAAGAATAGTAAATTAAATTCCAGGTTTGCAGACTCTATTTTGATTGGTTTGTTTTCCAAACAATTTTCGTCATCCTACGCACCATTAAGCCGGGCGTATGCTGAGACTCGTTTTGGAAGTCTAGTGTACATTTTACACAATTGAAACTCACCTACTGTTTTCTCTACATAATCATTACCTAACCTTTTATAGGTGACAACATATTTTGTAGTCATCGAAGGGCAGTGACGACATTCTGGTACGTTATTCTATACCCTGAGCTGTGGACAGCAAGGAAATGCAGTAACTATCTCCTTTTCATGACCTGCCTCTGCAGTTTCGCGGACACAACTTCGCTCACATTTCCACCAACTCTCGGGTGAATAAACTGCACTTTATATGCTAGAATGTAGTACAATATGATTTCATCTTTCAAATACCACTTTTGAACAAGAAGAACAAATGTAATTAAGGCACAAAGTGTGATAAGGCAAATGAGATAAAATGCGTTACTGCTGTTACTGATTCTTGACCTGTTACAGTGCAAGAGGAAAATATTTTCTGCACACTCTGAAACAAAAACCTTACGGGTTCGGGCCTTCTGGGGCTGACTGTTTCGCCATCAACGCGGAGAAGAAATCCAATGATATACTGAACAAAATATCAAGCTAACCACAACCAGGCTTTTCATCGTTCCAACGTTTTATGATTGAATCCATTAAAATAATAAACTTCAAATGTAAGGTTTAATTTGCTATTAAATTGTAAATTGATAACCAAATGTTTTGTTTTATGTTGGTACCAATGTAAAAAGTAAAAATAAACTAAATTTAAATAAAATATGTGTAGCTCTAGCTACAGAAGTGGATGACCACTTTATTTTTCAAACTTTTATAAAGTTGTACTATAACTAAATTCGTTTGTAACTCAATGTAGTTATATTGTTTTATCAATATGTGGTGTAGTGCTAAATATGTTACCATGAAAATAAATTAAATTGGTTTCAGTTACTATTATTATTTAGACTTTTCCAACGTTTAATATGTTTGAAACCACACAACGTTTCTGGAGGTGGATCAACTCCTCCCGTTTTCAACTGTAATTACTAATTACTACATTAGTCTCAGTTAGCCATCAAAAGGTAAGCCGGTAAAGCGTAAACTTAACAATAACATAGTTTAACGATATTCAGTTTATACTTGGTTTTTGTGGACGTATTCTTGTTATTATTTGTTTTTTGTCATTTGACCAAATTTAAAACTTTTTCAATAACAACTATTAGTCAAGCAAACTATTAGTTAGACCTTGCTTTGCCTCTGGTAACATAAACTATTAAAGCAATAAAAGTAATACAATCTAATTTAAAATAATAAGAGAAAACACTTACAGTATCCAAAAATCAGCAATCAACGTTCCTAATATAGACAGTGGAAATACATTTTTATTCTATTTGTCTATGCTAATCTGGAACACAGATCTTACAACGGAAGAAAAGTTACTTGAAACATTTCTTCAGAGGGAGATAACAACCACTAAATACTAATAATAACTTCAATACCATAAAAGATAGATACTGTAGTTACAAAGATCTGAAGAATATGAATAAGTCAGAATAACGTCAGAATACTTGTATGACGAATCATAGAAGCAAGACTTATGTTTAAAACATACTTGGCAAATAAAGCAATACGATTTGCAGTGTTTAAAACACCCCTAAAATACAAATTCTTAAGAAACTATGTTCCATTTACATATTCATATAAATCAATCCATAAAACATATAACTATTAAAGTTGATGCTTGACTCTTTAATCTAGCTTGGGCCCATTAGAAAATCGACTTTTTCGCTGAAATGCGCAATCAATTGTGTGAATTATAATTACAACTGATCCGGTAAGTTAACTAAAATATACAAACTTTATATGATTTTGAACTAACTTTGTGGAGAAGATTATATTTATTACTAGCAGAGTACCCGTCCTTCGTACGGGGTTGGCATATAAGTATAAAATGCTTATTGCAGTTATGGGTGAGGACATGGTTTAAGAAAGTTTGGTTCTTTTGCTCTACCACTGCCCCTGAACCATAGAAAAAAGTAGAGGTCTCATTGTGTAATGCATGTGTTAAATGCAAAAAAATAATAGGGCTGCACCCTATAGGTAAACCGTAAAACCTGTTAATGCTATTTAATATCATAGATTTGCTTGTGCAGTCGAAACAGCTGACAAAATTCTTTAATTCCTTTTAGATATATTTTTATCAAATTTGGCAAATTGATTTATCCTATACTAATTTTCCTAAAATCACACTTCGTAACCCTCCCTGTAGCAGCATAACCTAGATACTCGTTAAACCTAATGTTATTGAATTAGATTTAATTGAAAATAGGCTGCAGGTGTGCTGCGGCGGGGGTATTATGGAATTGTAATTGATGTAGAAAGAAGACTTTGTGGTAGTACATGATTAACTCTAAGTTATATAAGATACTAAAAAAATCAATCCCGTCGGTCCCAATTAGTAGCGTCGGTCGCTTAAAAATTTGACTGGCGCTACTGCAACCAGCGCTAGTATTCGTTAGGTTTGCTGCAGCAGGGATATTAAATTACTGTTTAAACAAAAATAAATCTAAAACATAATTCTCATAAAACTCAGGATAAGGGCCTAGGTTGATACGGCAATGATTGTAGAATCTTAATTATATCCTATATCTATGGATAATTTCTTTTTACGATGAAATATTCACTATAAAATATTATTACAGCATATCACAAATATTAGAACAGACTCAGTATAATTGAGTATAAACATAAACAAATTATGTAACTGAAAGAATCCTATTATAATGAAATGACATTAACATATGGTTTGACAGCTCCATTTTAGTACCTAATGTAAAATAATGTTTACATTCAGGCTAGTGACGTCATTATTTTAAATATGATCCCTACCCTCTCTGTTCTTATATTCGTGCAGTATTTAAATAAATGTTTGAACCAGCTGTGTGGAATTGTGAAATCAAAATTCATTTGACAGTTAGTTCTGCTTGTTTACATTTTCAAACTTTGTAGGTTTGTTCTTTGTTACCATGGATACCATCAATCAATATTTACTTTTAAATCTCTCACCTCAAATTTTTGAAAGCCCACGGGGCAGAGCCCTAGGACAATATCGAAGCGGGAATAGTTCTATATGTATCCTCAGAGCTGTAGCTTCATTTGTGTGCAATTTGAGCCCAATAGGTTCAGAAGTTTTTGAGATTATCTCATACAAACACACACACACACACAGACACCACCTCTTCTTTATAATAGTAAATAGATAGATAGATTGTTATGTTACCCTACTAATACAGTAGTATAAAGTTGCATTTTACCACTGGAAGTCGTTTTGAGAGGTTATCTTTACATACAAATTATTTCATTTTCTATCTTATATTAGTTAGATAGTTAATGATGAAATATGACGAAAAATATAGTTCACCACACGGGCAAAAAGTGACTTTTTAACCCTCGCTCATTTTCCGACCTCGGCTTCGCCTCAATCGTAAAACTTGAAAAGAGTCACTTTAGGCCCTAGTGATGAAATATACTATTAAATATCAACAGTTCAATAATACACGGTCATTCATGCCTTGTGAAACAATGGATACAAAAAAATATTTTATTCTTTTTTTCGCATAGGTTGGTGCCTACGATTGACTAAAAGTATATGTGGGTTAGTTTGAAATGTTTTTTATCATGGCTTCGGATTTCTTCCTCTTGCTGAAAGAGAAACAGTTGGCACTTGAAGGTCCGAATCCATAAGGTTTCTGAGCCATTGTGTTCAAGTAATAAGTCCCTTTTGCACTGAAACAGGTCCATATTAGTCAGTGAGGGGGAAAAGTGTAAATTAATTTTCCTTCCTACGCTGATTGATACTCTTTTGCGAATTTATTGATTGAAAAAGTCGTATTTTGAGAAGTATTATCAAAACTTAATGCAATGAAAGTAGTTTTATCACAATGTATGACCTTCAACGATTCTAGACAGAACACCTCAAACTTTAATTAAACTCAAAATTGTAAACTTCCTATCAAATAAAACACAAAATTAACGCTAAACAGGTTTGAGCAAATAGACCTAAGCCTCAAAATCATAAATGGATAGCTAAATTTTAACTCCAAACTGTTCAATATAAGCCCAATAATGTCTGGTAAAACGTTACACCATTGGGCTTCAGGTTTGGTGGTGAAGCACAATACAAGTTGAAAAATTGTATAAAATTGGTATACAATCCTAATATAGGCCAGAGCAAGAACCATTTAGTTACGGAAGTATTTTGCGATTGGCCCCTACTCAATTTTCAAAGAAATTAGAAAATTAGATAAGTAACATATCAGTTGTATTGTAATTTACCCTAGGGCTGGTGGGAATGTTAGGGAAATCTGGACCCAAAACTGCAGAGACAGGACTTGAACAAGAAGAAGCTACTACACTTTCTTGCTGTCCATAACTCAGGGTATAGAATTACATACCAGAAAAGCGTTACAACCCTCCGATGGCTACACAGTCTCTTCCCACCTGTAACAGAGTATAACAATATTATGTAGAAAAGCAATAGTTCAGTTTTAATTGTGGCTTGTAATATAGCTGCAAAATCGCTACTGCATTTACAACTGCTCAGGCCAGACGAAATGGGAGTTTGGTTTATTCAAAGAAAAATTGTGTTATGTTTAGCTATTTATAATTTGATATTTCTTTAGTAATAGTAGGAATAAGTCAGAAATTCTTTAGTAATAAGTTATTAAGGAATAATTCTTGGGTAAGAGAGGTTTAGAGATGAGAAAATAAAACATGATGAGATACAAAGGACGTTGAGACGTTTCGAAAGGTAGCTAGGAAAATAGAAAAAAACCAGGGGTACATACAGGCTTTTGAATTGAAAAAAAAGAAACCAACAAAAACTAAGAAAGAAAAGGAATGAAAACTTGCCCATGAAGGGACAGGATAGAGCTGAGTGAATTTCAATGATCCCTATCGCCCAAGGCGGTAGTATTGAGTATTTACATAATCTTTGAGTCGAATATTTTAAAGTAATCAGAAATTATGACTTTTATTCGTTTTAAAATAACGCCTGTAATTGCTCAAATTCGAGCAACAGGTACACTAGTTGTAATAAATTGTTAAAGTATTTCATAAGATATCCATAATAATTTGAAAGACATCGAGTTTACATTTTTTACACACAATGATGGTTGATACATAATTCGAAAAAAATATTCTTTATTTTCGTATTATTTCAACTCATAAACCTTTTTATATTTTCATTGTACCAACGGGACACCCTGTAGTATGTAGTAAAAACGAACAATGCAAACTAGAGGTCTTTATCTTAACACAGTAAAATATGGCAGCCAATTGAATATAAAATCGCACGTGTATTCTGATGTATGAAGATTTCAATCAGCTGCAATCTTTTACTGTCACTGCCGTTATCTGTCACTCGATGGGTCTTACCGTTTAAAACTTTTGAGTTTCCCCCAAAATCCCCCATTTTGGGGATGTACGCCAATTAGCGGTGATGCCCAAAAAGTACTTCATAACCTGCCATAAAGGTGTGCCGAGTTTAGCTTTTCTAGTATGGTCCGTAAAAAAATTAACAGGGGTTCTCCAGACTTTTTACTAACAAAGTGTAATGAGTAATGAGTAAGTGTATTGAGTATCCCACTAGGTGTCAATTATAGACTATCCAAAAGTGAATGCTAGTACTTACTATAGTAGCAGCCAGGCTGGAACCATCCATTGTTGATGTTGAAATCAGCTGTTGCCTTGCGAAAAAGAGTTCCGCCGACAAGTGAGTTGGTGTGATAGACGAAGACCAGTTCGGCATCCTCCTCAGAAAGCACTTTGTTCTGAATACCGAAGAAAAACGCCGAGTTTGGGTCTAGGGCTGAGAGAAACAATTAATTTGTGTAAAATGTGTAGCGAGATTTCACTTAAAATTGTTATCATTGAAGTTTAAATATGGTAAGATTATGATTAAAAATTATGACGAAATTGAAATTGTTTTATATTACGTACAAAGCATACCACGTCTCTTAACTAATGTGATTGAATACTTTTTTAATGCTAGATTTGTAAACAAAGATGTAATGCAAACATGCCTTTTTTAAATTATATACAATCTTGAAATCAAAATCGCTTAATTTCTTTATTACTATAAGAATCGCATCTATAATTGTGTTTTTCATAAAATGATTAAACATATAGAAATAATTTTAAACTTTGCGTATGCTGTTTTTAAGCTCCAATGCAAATACCCTTATGCATTAATCCTTCTGAGTTAAGCAGAGTAAAGCAGTTTTTTTCCAATGGACCTTTTTTTCAAACTCACCTGTTATGGATTTGATCTTCTTTCCGTCGTTTTTTGACGAAATGTAGCGACTTATGTAGCCTGTGAGCTGGCCAGAGAAGCAGAAACCGACGAGATGTATTTTGTCGAGTTCTAATAGTTTGTCGGCAATCGCAGAGTTGAAAAAGTTACCAATGATTTCACTTAAATCCTGTAAACATTAAAGATTATACTATATAGTCTATTTACTGCGTGATTTCAAACTTAAGACAATAGTAGAACAGAATACACACTTGGAGCAAGAAACTATCAATGCTCGGTTTTGGATAAGTATTTTACTGTAATTATATTTTGATAACAATATACTAGTACATTGCTACTTCGATTGTATACGTAGCCACTGTATAAGTGAAAATGTCGTTTTTCAAATCAAAAGGGTATCATTATAGTTCAGGACATTGACAAATCTTATTGTATTTCCTAATTCGTCAACTAAATTAATTCTATGGTGAAGTGAACACACAATTAAGTTAGTGTTGGGTGAGACAATATCTAAACAAGATGTTTGTGTCATAACTAATCTACAAATAGTCTGTCACAATAGAACAATAGAATGTATATTGTGATTGTTTGAAAGCCCTTCATGATATATCTGAATTGTGACAAATTTTAAAACTACTTAAGCAGTATAAAGTACGTAATACTTACATCATAGTTAGCCCTCTTGCCATACAATCCTTTCATGACAGTTTGCTCCATATAATCCTGCAGTTCTGCCATGTTGAATGCAAAAATGTTATATTTCTTCAAGAAATTTCTCAATGCCATAGCTGAAACATCATATGTAAGAAGCATTTTAGTTTGTAAAATATACTAGTAGTACGCTTATTCTGCGCGTAACGGGATGAGTGAACATGAGCGCAATAATGAAAGAGTCCACCCACACCTAGCCTACTTACCGGTGTCACTGGTGAACACAATAATGTTATTTGTATGGGCAAATCAACCAAATCTCAGTCAACAACAATCCTAACTTCTCGTCCATTAATTAACCAAAGTCATTGGTAATATTCGTAATGGATTTCCAACAGTTATCGATATGAGGTAAATCCATCGTTCCTGTACAAAACGTCTTTTGATTAAATAAAACCTATTTCTATATTTGTTATGAAGCCTATCATAAACAAAACTAAGCCAAACTGAACTAATATAATTTAAATAAATTGCCAAAGCACAGTGTAAGGAATCTCCAAAAAAATATCATATTGCTTACAATGATGATTTATATCAACGATAGTGCTATTATATCATCTAACAATGATTAAAAATCCAATAAATGTTCATCTAACTAATGAATCTAAATGCCATAAACGGTTCCCACACTCCGCACTGCTTGAATTTACCACTTCCATCGCCACTACCTACGTCGTGGACCTGTTTCCCTCCCTTCCCCCAGCATTTTAGTATTGAATGTACATTAATCTAACTACCACAAACTTTTCCCACATTTAAAACTTCTCGCATTTACCAAATCCTTCCCCAATTACTACGCCATTGACCTGTTTCCCACCCTTACCATAGCATTTTAGTATTGTAACTGTTTCATTGCAGATACATAAATCTAACTGTCACCAAATGGTTCCCACACTCCGCATTTCTCACCTTGACTTTGACTACTTCCTTTATCACTTCCTACGTCGTGGACCTGTTTCCCTCCCTTCCTATAGTATTTTAGTATTGCAGGTACATTAATCTAATTGTCACAAAGGGTTTCTACACCCCGGACTGCTCGCCTTGACTACTTCCTTCACCGCTTCCTACGTCGTGGACCTGTTTCCCTCCCATCCTATAGCATTTTAGTATTGCAGGTACATTAATCTAACTGTCACAAAGGGTTTCTACACCCCGGACTGCTCGCCTTGACTACTTCCTTTATCACTTCCTACGTCGTGGACCTGTTTCCCTCCCATCCTATAGCATTTTAGTATTGCAGGTACATTAATCTAACTGTCACAAAGGGTTTCTACACCCCGGACTGCTCGCCTTGACTACTTCCTTCACCGCTTCCTACGTCGTGGACCTGTTTCCCTCCCATCCTATAGCATTTTAGTATTGCAGGTACATTAATCTAACTGTCACAAAGGGTTTCTACACCCCGGACTGCTCGCCTTGACTACTTCCTTCACCGCTTCCTACGTCGTGGACCTGTTTCCCTCCCATCCTATAGCATTTTAGTATTGCAGGTACATTAATCTAAATGTCACAAAGGGTTTCTAAACTCCGGACGGCTCGCCTTGACTACTTCCTTCACCGCTTCCTACGTGTCGTGGACCTGTTTCCTTCCCTTCCGATAGCATTTTTAGAATGGCAGATTTATTATTCTAATTGTCACAAAGGCTTCCCAAACTCCGGACTGCTCGCATGGACTACTTCCTTCACCACTTCCTACATCGGGGACCTGTCCCCCCCTCGCATAGCTTTTTAGTATAAAGATATACCAACATCTTTGAATATTTAATATTCAATGCCAACATTAAATTGAATAATGTAAAAAGCTGCTTTGTTCTAAATACATTCATATATATTTTTAATTTAAAGGTGAATTTTAATACTGAACATAAACGGTATATAACTATAAACTGCCGACTAATATTGTTAAGTTCAATTTATTAATCTGAAAGTTGTGAAAATTAATTAGCTTAAATAACATTATTCTGAAAGCTGTGAAATTATAATGATATATATTAGACATATATAATGATATATATTAGTAGACGCCAAACTGTTTACTCCATGAATGAAGGAGCTTAGAGTAAAAGTCGTTCTCTCTGTCTTAAGTAGACAACAAAATTGTTGGTCGCAAACACAAAACGTAAACAAATAAAAAGAAGAAGAAGGTAGCTCCTAATGTTATTCTTATGGGACAAATTGAAAAATGTTTTTTAAGTATTTTATAATTAATACTGAGTGGAATCGTCTAGAATTTTAATGGTTTCTTCCCACTGGTGTCATAATTATTTGTGCAAAATTTGAACGCTATAAGTGCGACGGTTCTTGAGTTTTTGGTGCGAACGAACACACACACACACACACAAGCGGACAACTTTTCTCCGACTCCGCTATACACGATACATAGATTCGTTCACTTCGTTCACTCATCTATTATCTTACTTTCAATAATTATGATAGGAATATCTGGACAATAAAGTGGTGCTTCGAGCTTCATATTATCCTTGTATAAATATTTTATATTGTACTTCATGAAACTACTATCTTAATAAAGGTTCTCTAGAGGAAGTTGTATTAGAAACCTATCTTGTTTTGTTAGATAAACTTAGAGGTATGAACGAATGTTCTTAATTATTATTCTATGAATTATTAGCAGTTATTACTTAATCAATTCTAAACAGAATTTACAGCTATGGATTATATAAGATCCTCAATTGACAAGTTATCATGTGTAGGTAGTGAGCTTTGTAAGAACATCCAAATATAATGTTTCAAACGCATACCGAGTTCCTTGATTGTGTTACCGATCTTATTCGATTGAAGAATCGACCTGGAATGACATACAATTTAAAACGATTAGTAAATGGATCTTAGAAATATTCCAAAGTCATACCTATAATTGAGTTTTTGACAAAGTTGTCATTGGCAGAGCCCCCAACAGTGTGGATGATAAAGATAGACTCTTGTTCTTTTTTGTAGCCATTTTCTTCTTTCAACAGATCCTTTGCTTTTGCTAACGGGCTAGTGTGATACTTGACGATTGTCTCTTGATTAAGTAATATTTTTAATGCGTCTGTTGCTTTGCCAGGATATCTTGGGATAACATCATCACTCTGAATTGCCTCTGTTCCGTCTGGCACCCATTGTTTGCTGCAATATTGTAAAAGTTTAAATGTAATGTTACATTTTTTCTTATAGCTAAAACATTGTAGAAAGAATGTTATAGATTAAACTATGAATACTTTAGAGTAAGAATGCAAAACATTATAGCTTTACCCACTTATAATCTCGCCAACTTCATTGCGGGAGCAGTTTAGTCAAGCCCAATAAAATAACAATTCAAGCACGGGTGACCCACATAGAAATGTTACCTTAGTCCGATATTAAGAACTTATTAAAACAATGAAAACAATTCAAATGCAAAATTCAACCGTCTTTGGAAAAATATTGGTTTTCACCTGATAAGCTGTTTCCAAAATGGAAGATTTTATGCTCGGTTCAATATGTTTGTGGTTTGAGGGGAAGTTCTTCCACCATTTTTTTGTACCTAATGTATGTTGCTTAATCAGCTGTTGTGCTATTATTTTAAAGATAAGGATAGAGTGGAGGGGGTGGATTTCTTCCCCTAAAACCACCTAAATGTTTTTACTGACAAAAATAATTAAATATAGACCGACAGCCGTGCTGCGATTAGCATAGATTTGGCGTCCACTGCTGGGAGCCCCATGTAGTTAAGTGTGTACGCGGTGACTACACGGTGCTCCCAGTGGTGGACGCCAGAACCTATGCTAACCGCAGCACATCTGTCGGTCTATATTTAATTCTTTTTGTCTATGATATTGTGAACTAGGTAAGTTATACTATTGGTGGCTTAAGATAGCTCGATGGACGAGTATCTTGACAGGTAAAAAAATGTGGACATATCACCACAGTGTACACTTTAAGTAAACTTATGCTGTTCTTGCAACTATAAAACGACAGAAGTAAAATAAAATACTATATTTACAATACTATAAACATGTTTTATGCTCACTTACGTCCAAAATATATTCATTGAAAATTTAGAATCGTTACGATATTAAAAATTTTATTAAATTATTTCTTTTGGGATTTACCTTTAACTATTAAAACAAGTAGACATTCCATCCCCATGTTCAAGTTGTCACCGGTTTTTAATCAAAGTCGTCGTAGTTGGTATTTGCCACTCAAATAGAAGAACTTTTTTACCAAGTCAAATGACTTATTTGTGAGCTAAAGTAACTGTTATGACCCATCAACTTGGTCAGCAAAAATATTAAGCTATAAAATTGAATTTTAAACCCTAGCGCATTCTGCGTCTGGTTCACACAGCTATGTTTTTTTTAGTAACAGATTTGTGACAGCTGTTCCATAGAGATAGGATGTCTACTTCAGTGTTAATCTAATGTTTTAACTGTAAAATAATCTCAGAGTCTTGATAATGCAAAAGAAAATCAACAAACGTTTCATACAAATGAATAGTTACCAATACTTACTCAACAAGGTGTAAAACAATTTTAGATTTGATCTCTCCTTTTGGCAAACTCTCTGTATTCGGGAGAAAGTTCTTCCATTTATAAACTTTCCCGTAGGTGTCTTGCAAATGAACTGAAAAAATAAAACTTGAAGTAAGGTCTTAAGCTTTTAGACTCAATAATAATTTGTAGGTATTTTTGTAACTAGTGCTAACTGTATTTTGTAATGCTACTACCGTCATATTTAGCGACTCACTACTTTTTTATTTGGGACAATTTAATACGTACCAAAAAATACCTTACTAATGAAAATAGTAAGATACATTGGACCAAAATGTAATTTAAAATTGATTCCTTTCAGAATTATCACTACTGTCTCCTACGTTGAATACTCAATATTTAAAATCCTAGAAAACACCAGAAATAATTAAAAATAGATTATCATTTCAAACGTTATAGTAAATAAACCATCCATAAAGATTTTAATTTAGTTCTTTAATAAATTAGTACATTATTTATACAGCCTACATAATTGCAAAATTATAAGTACTTACTTAGAGTAAATAGTAGGAGAATATTTTTCATTTTCTAAGATGTACTCAAAAACTTTTGCAACACTGCCTACATCGAAATGAATAAAACTAAGCAAATTGAGTTCTTGCCTGGAACGAGTAACTTGTACTAACATATGTTAGTTTTAATGGCGCGCAGTTGTTATTTACTATTCAATAATAGCAATAACTCAAAGGTGAAATATAATTTTTCACACTGCAGCAAAACCCGCCGTTTTAATACATGCATTGCGGGTCTCAAAAAAATCTTATACTCCCAGGGAGTAAAAAGCCTTTTTAGTCCCTAAGTAGTAAGCTGTAAACTCAGTTGAAAACCTCGGTCGTAAGCAGTCACATGTATCGAAATTGTGTATCGATTGGCTGAATCGGTTGTAGCATGGATAAATCTTACTTCTCATCCTTATGGAACAGCTGAAGCCAATTGTACAGTATTGTTAGTTCTGTCCGGTGATCTGTAGAGGTCTTGTTTTGTTTTTGTCATTGAAACTCAGTTAAACCAAATAATACGTTGTAATCATAAACAATAACTTTAAAGTTTTTCAACCGATCTTTATGAAACTTGGTATGTATATTGTTAAAGAGACCTATGTTTGGGGAAAAATACGTTGGTTCAATTTGAAATTTTAAAATAAATGACATTTTTTCAATAAATATTTTTTTGTAATTTAAGTTATAAAAATTCAAACGTCCGCCATTTTAAAATTTCAAATTTAACCAACCTATTTTTCTCCCTAACGGCCTCTTTAACTGCAATATACATACCAAGTTTCATAAAGATCGGTTGAAAAATTTCAAAGATAACAATGTTTATGTACATAAAAAAATGCAGATATCTGGAGAAACATGCATTTTCGGATATACCTTCACACAAACTTTCTTTCTTTCTTTTGGTATGAGAATCCATACCCCTAGGTCCTGAAATGTTTTTTATGGACACCCTGTATATTTAGTAAAAACTAGATTGAAACGAAACTTGTTATCTAGATGTTTTTCGCGTAAAATATCTGAATTTGCCCTTGGATTTAGAACGGGCTCACAGCTATAAATTATGTTTCACCTGTCAGCTAGTCAGTTATTACAGTTATTAAGTCATCCAAAACAGCAACTGCGCTTCAACACACATCACTCACACATAACATCAGTTTAGTTTTTCTTTTTGAAATGACAGCAACGTTCTAGTGGTTTTAGAATACATTCTGTTGAAAAATGAAACCGATTTTGCTATTTTTGATTTTCGGTAAGTACTTTTATATACATAATGAGTTTTAAATGAATTCCCCCCTAATTTTTTCTACATTTCTTAAGATATCAACTCCAGACCACGTCAGATCATTGTAGAGTAGTAAGAAACTCATTTTGAATGGTATAAATATTCAACCGCCATCTTGGATCCGCCATATTGGATACAAAGTTTATTCAAAGGTAAAGGTAGGGTTGTGACCCATCATTTCAAATTAGAATTATACGCAGAGTACAATGCCGCAATCCGTTTTTCAAAATATTGATCCGTTGAAAGGTTATTACGAATTTTCAAAAATTAATTTTTGAACCAGTTTGTTTACAACCTAATGTTAAAATATGCCCTTAGTCTTAATAATTTGCTAGAAAACGAAAGTAATCTATCACTCAACATATTCGGGTCATATTTTCTTCTTTTTGATGAATTGGACATTTTCAGCCGCCATCTTGGATCTGCCATATTGGATACAAAATATTTTAAAATGTAAAGGTGGGTTGTGACCCATCGTTTCAAACCAAACTTTTACTCTGAATTCTATGCTACAATCTTTTTTTCAAAATCTTAATCCGTTAAAAAGTTATTAGGAATATTCAAAACTAATTTGTGGATACATTTTTATATGACGCAATGTTAGAATTTGCCCCTAATCTCCTAAATTTGCTAAAAAAACGAAGATTTTAAAAGTTAAGAATCTGATTATTGTAAGGTCAAATTGACTTTCTTTTAACGAATTATCAATTTTCGGGCAATAAGATGTATACACAAATTATAAAAAAAAATTCTAATACTTTTTTAACGAAAAAAGATTTTGAAAAACGGATTGCAGCATTGTATTTAGCGTAAAAATCGAATTTGAAACGATGGGTTACAACCTACACTTTACATTTGAAAATAATTTTTGTATCCAATATGGCGGATCCAAGATGGCGGCTAAAAATGTATACTGAGTCAAAATGAAGTACATTCTACTCTACCATGATCTGACGTGGTCCGGAGTTGATATCTTAAGAAATGTAGAAAAATTTAGGTTGGTAACTCATTTAAAACTCACCCTGTATATTTTCTCGTTGTAGCCTAAATGTATGGGCATGGGCGTTTAAATGGCATGAGTGTGTGTGCGTGTACCAGGCGTTTTTGGTGTTTAATGAAGGTATTATGTTTTACACTAAATTAGAAAACGTTGGGAACTAAGGATTTAAAATATTTAAAAAAACATTTCAACTTTGTAGCAATTTGCTATTTTCAGTTGTATTTATTTTATGGAAACGTATAGTTACTGAATTAAAATACAGTATAGGTTTGAAGGAATTGTCCTTTTTCGATCTGGCGTATGATTGCTAATGCTAGATGGATTTGCATTGAAATGTAGATTGCCAATAATTGCTAACAGATTCGACAAAATACCCTTTTCACTAATTGACTAATAGATTGATTTATAATAATTGATAAATTTATTTAAATTGATTTTTTTTTTGCTAATTGATTTATATGCAGCTAGGGTTTGTTGATTTAGTAATCAATTGTTCCAATAACCAAATGACGAGTCGCTGACTCATACGGTAGAGTGGAGCATAGACAAAAAGAATTCAATATATACCGTCAGCTGTGCTGCCATTACCATAGGTTCTGTCGCACACATGTAGGAGAACCATGTAGTTACGGCGTTCGTGCTACGTAACTACACGGCGCTCCCAGTGGTGTGCGCCAGAACCTATGGTAACCATGGTAACCGCAGCACGGCTGACAGTCTATATTTAATTCATTTGTTAATGAGTGGAGTCAGCTGTTTAAAAGTGCACTAAATTGTTGTTAAGTTTGAACAAGTGTCTATAGCTAAATTAAGAGACCTCATTTAAGATTTTACATTGTTTCAGTTAACTTTCAAGGTTCAAATGGGGATGCTTATAAATGGAGGAACTTTCTGCCGACAACTAAGAGTTTACCAAAAGGAGAGATTGGATCAAAAATTTCATTACGCCTTGTAGAGTAAGGATAGTTAACTATTAGTAGGCTATGTTGAACCATAGACAAATTGCATTAAACATGAACCAACCGACAGCAGTGCTGCGTTTAGCATGTGGCGTCCACCGCTAGCAGTGCCATGTAGTTACGTAGCGTGTGCGCCTCAACTACACGACACGGCGTTCCCTAGGGTGGACGCCAGAACTTATGCTAACCGCAGCACTTCTGTCGATCTATATTTAATTCTATTTGTCTATGGTTGAACACACATTGATTTCCTTTTCCGTTACTCGGACGAAGACTAGAATATGTGAGTAAAAATCAACAGTACGTAAACGAGATTTAACAGATTAAGACAAACAGCAATGAAGTAGATGAAGGTTCTAAATTTTAAACCATACGTTATTCAATTTTGACATTTTACGTTTCCAGTTTTCTGCTCTCTAGATATTTGGGTACTTTCCTGTTAAAGGGAACATTCATTATTATCGAGGATTTTTTCTCGATATATCGATGTTTTTGTTTTCCGATCCATTACAAATTGACAACAAGAAATGAAACTGTTCTAAGCTAACCTAACATAACCAACCATACTTGCTGTACCATTTAAAAATTCCCTTTGGGTTTGAATATAAAAGGCAAGTTTTAAACGTGGAATTTTTAAATGTTACAGCAAGTTTGGTTAGTTATGTTAGGTTATTTATTTTAGAACAGTTTCATTTCATTAATGTTTGTTGATACTGAACAATATTTTTCGTCATTGTCAGCTGATATGTTTCAATTTGTTAATATCGATATATCGAGAAAAAATCATCGATAATAATGAATGTTCCCTTTAACAGGAAAGTACCGATATTTGTTAATTGAAGTATCTTAAACCACCATTATGAACGGCCTCCCAATTTTGGAAACAGCTTGGCTGGTGGACACCAAATTTTTGTCCAAAGAAAATTGAATTTTGTTTGTGCATTTTTAAAATTATTTTTAGTTTACTTTAGGGTCCCCAAACCAATTTTGAAATATTTTTTTTACTAATGTATGGTATATTTTGAACACGTTTTACCTCTAGCAAATCGCAAAATGCGTTAAGAATTGGCACTGTTTTTTCCGTCAGCTGAAGGGATGTATTTAGGAAATTTTGAACACTTTAAACCTCTAGAACCTTTTCGGCAAATGCCATTTTCAACCTGAAAATCATTTTAGAAAAGTCGTCAACAATCTCAAAGTGCAAAAAATGACTGAGCAGTGCTTTGGTTAGCACAAGTTTTGGCGTCCACCGCTAGAAGCGCCGTGTAGTTACGGAGCACACCGCTGCAGCGTCTGCTGGTAACATACGGCACTCCTAGCGGCACATTGTGGAACCTTCCTTTGACAGTCTATATTATTCTATTTGCCTATGATTCTACTGAATGTCTAAAGTCGGCCTTAGTCACTAACAAGACTACAAGATCGCGCCACTCATTTTACACTCATCTCCATTCATACTTGGCTTAAAATGCCTACTTTGTATGGTCTCCATTTCATTAAAAAGTATTAAAGTACCTATTAAAGTTATAATGATATGGATTGGCATGATGATTCTTCTGTGACGTACACTATCCTGTCTTTAAATGATGCGATGGTTCGTGATACTATGCGAAAGTCTTTTAAGTCTCCATCCACGAATACAACTTAACAAATTGATTTCGAGTACAGTAGTTTGTGCGATGTATTAATTTAAACTATGCTTTAGTTGTACTTTACATACAAGAACGTAGTATTACATGAAAATTGAACAAAATATTTCAGCAAACAGTGGGTGCCAGACGGAACCGAGGGTATTCAGAATGATGATGTCATCCCCAGATACCGAGGCAAAGTAAAAGATGCGTTAAAAATGTTCATGGCTGAAGATCTGGAAGTCAAGTACCATAAAAGCCTATTAGAAAAAGCCAAGGATCTGTTAAAAGAAGAAAATGGCTACAAAAAAGATCAAGATTCTATCTTCCTAATCCACACTGTTAGTGGCTCTGCTAAGGACAACTTTATCAAAAACTCAGTTATAGGTATGAATTTTTAATATAAGTAATAGAACTCCACTGATTATTTCCGATTTCATAAAATTTCAACTAGGTCCTTAAGTTTAATGTAACTGAACAATTAAGGACTTGTGAAAGACAAGTTTTAATCGGGTTCCAGGGTTTTATTCTTGGCGTTTCACTGTTAATTCATACCAAGATATAGTGATTTTAAATTATATGCCGTGTAAATATGTATAAACAGTTAAAAATACTGAGCATTTTGTAAGCAATAAAAATAAACACCTTTTTAAAATTATGAAAACTCTGAAAATTTTTATTTTGAGTAAAAACATTATGAAAAATCTGTACTAATTTTTTTTTTCTGGTAGAACGATAAAATCAAACCTGGTATGCACCTTATAGTATATTTACAACCACTACACACATTTTGACTTCCTATGATTACCTTCACAATGAGGAAACCTTTCTAACCGCGCTAGTGCTTGTAGCTGTAAACTTTGTTCACAAGCGTAAGTAAAAAACCACTAATGTTGATAGAATGTTTAGATTAAATTATTGTTCTAGTCTTCTCAGTTTTTAACGAAACAAAATTTGATTCAGTTTCAAAATCCCTTTATCAATCGGAGATTTATGTATTATCTTTGACTATTAATACAACAAAATTATTGAATTTTATTTAAGTGTCGTAAGAGGCGTACAAGGACAATATGACTTTTATCACTTCTTACCGCAACAAGTTTATCGTGATTGTTAGAAGTTGATTTGTTGCAAAAATTAAATTTTTCTTATGTTTAATGTTGCAGCGTTGGCATTGAGAAATTTCTTAAAGAAATACAACGTTTTTGCTTTTCACATGAAAGAATTGCAGGACTATATGGAGCAGTCAGTAGTCAAGGCGATGTATGGACAGAGGGCGAATTATGATGTAAATATTTGTTACATATCTAATTTATTGTATGGGTAGTTTTACAATTTGCCATCATTTAGATCAAATATTATTTCATATATTGTTAGCTAACTCATTACAGGTTTTTGAGATATCACACTATCACAGGATATTGAACAACAATATTATTATATAATAGTTACAGAAAAACGTACTACTACAAACGATTAATTTTAATGACGTTTAGTAGAAATTATTGCCAACCAATCCCAACATGAGGGATCGATTCAAGCTTAAGACTCCTTAAAAATAACATAACTCTTTTAAAAGTGAACGATCAAAAACGAGTAGATACATCTTTTTACAAAATCCCGCAATCATGGTCATAATTACTTAAATGTTTAACATAAGGGGATAGTTAACTAAGCAAGGTTTCCATTTGCCTGATTTTATTTAAAATGAAATTAATTGCAATATTATTAGGTTAACCGAGTACCTAGGGAAGGTAAGGGAGTTTCTTGTAAAACATTAACAGCATAGTATAAAATAAATACATTTGCCAAGTTCTACTATTGCTACTAAGACTTAATTCATAGCTTAAATAACTATAATTACATGTTTAATATTACAGGACTTAAGTGAAACCATTGGAAAATTTTTCAACTCTGTGATTGGCGACAATCTAATGGATATCGACCGGATACATCTTGTAGGTTTCTGCTTCTCTGCTCAGCTCGCAGGCTATATTAGTCGCTATGTATCCTCGAAAAACGGTGGCAAGAAGATCAAATCCATAACGGGTGCGTTTGAAAAATATAACAAAATAGTATTTGTGTAGCTGCTTTACTATGTAAAACTTTCCATTGGAAGTTTTATTGTAAGAATATAATACTCTAAAACACAGCCCCTTAAATAGATTTATTCGTGCAATTTTTATTTTATTTTACTAGCAACAGTATAATGATTTTAAAACATATAACGATTTAGAAGGTATATTATTTTCACTACAATAAAGTGTGCAATTTAATGGGACGATTTGGCATTAACATACATTTTAGTGTAAACCTTGGGCTTTCTTCATTTAAGATTCTTAATAATTATTGAAATTATTTTCAAGCGATTTAATTTTCTGTCTCTGTTATTTGACCTCAACAAATTAACATTAGAATATTTTTAGAAGTCAGTGATAACAGTTTTAGTTCTCTTATACATATTTCTATATATTTATGTGTTTTTATCAGCTCTAGATCCATACTCATCGTTTTTATTCGGAATTAAAAACAAAGTGATCTCTAAGCACGATGCCGAGCTGGTCTTTGTCTATCACACCAACTCACTTTTCGCTGGTTCTATGTATCGCAAGGCAACAGCTGATTTCACCATAAACAACGGATGGTTCCAGCCTGGGTGTGCCTACAGTAAGTATTGGGCGTTAATTAAAATTAAAATTATTGGTGATGCTAATATGTGATCTGATCCTTTTTCCGGCTGAACTAAAAGCAGGACTGCATATATTATTTAGCTTTGCTAGTCGATAATGTGTCAGTAAAACTGCAGGAACGCCACGATATCTCTCGATATCAAGATGTTCCGTTGTCAAGGTGTTTCTTTGTCATGGCGTTCCGTTGTCAATATGTTCCGTAGTCAAGATGTTCCGTTGTCAAAAGGCTCCGAATGTTTTACGTCACGGTTGGCGGGGGACAGAGGAGGGATGTCACTCTTTGTACACGGTGATAGAGAGTAGGGGTGATCAACACCCACACGCCATTTCGGAACCTTTTGACAACGAAAATTCTTGACACAGGAGAATCTTGTCATCGTAACAAAACTGTACCGTATTGTCAATAGTGGGTACTTAGGAAAACATTTTTTTCTGTAGCTGCGTATATCTGAACTTGCATACGTACATACTACAAAGATTTTTACGTTCTTTGTGTCAGGTCTATGTATGAATTTAAATCAATTGTTCACGAATACAAATTAAAAAGTGATGAGCAAAATTCCACGTTTTATAACCTTACTTTGTTATCTATGTTTCATAAATCATTTTTGAATCCTACCCACCTACTCAATGAAGTCTGTATTAGACTTTAGACTTATAGACACAAGCTCAAAATCTAATGAAACAAATAAACCTAAATACACGCATTTCTCTTTAAACATCATATGAAATAGATTTCCGCATCTTCGTTTAAGTTACGTCCACCACCGATACAAATTGCAACTAGTATTGTTTTCCGCATATTTGTCATACAATATTTTTTAGGTACCAACATCTTGTGTAGTCATCGAAGGTCTGTCACGTTATTCTGGTATGTCATTTTGTACCCGGAGTTGTGGACTGCGAGGAAATGCAGCAGTTATCTTATGTTCTCGTCGTGTTTCTGCAGTTTCGCGGAAAAGACTTCACTTGTATTCCCACCAGCTCCTGGGTGAGTAACACCATAGACAAAAGAATGAAATATAGACTGTCAGCCTTGCTGTGGTCACCATAGTTACGATAGGTTCTGGCGCACACGGCTGGGAGCACCATGTAGTTATGGCGTACGCGCTACGAAACTACACGAGCTCCCAGCGGTGTGCGCCAGAACCTATCGTAACCATGGTAACCACTGCACGGCTGACAGTCTATATTTAATTATTTTTGTCTATGGTAACACTTCATTTTGTATAGTCTTGTAATGATGTTGACTAGATAAGTACAAACAGGCAACGGTACAAGCCAGTCGAACAAAAACAAGTAGGCCTACTCTTAGTTCGGGCTGTAACAGCACTCAACCAGTAAATCCAAATCAGATTATTTGTCAACATTGTTGTAACTTGTTAAATTTAAATAAATTGTTTTTCAAAAGTTCAAGTTTCCACCACTGTTACTGACTACTCTGTATCTGTTTCAGTGCCAGAGGGACGTATTACTTGAACACTATGAAACACAAGCCATACGGATTCGGACCAGCAGGTGCTAACTGCATCACCTTCTTTAGGAACAAGAAAGCCAACGATATAGTCAACAAAATATCAAACTAGCCAATCTCCTCGATTTTCAGTGAACCCATGAAATCAACTTTAGTTGTAAAGTAGAATGTGCCAATAAATTGTACACATACAAAATTGACTTTTTATTAGATGCTGATCCTGGATCCTGATTTAAAATATATTTATAGCTAGTGCAACAAATGAGTAGACTACTATTTCAGTTAAACGTTTTATATACAAAAAACAACAACTTTATAGTAACATTGCTCAGTACAAAAGTGTAGTCCAAATGTTTACTCAAACAGCGTTTGTATAGAGCCAGTTCAAGTTTAGTGATTAAGTTACGCTAGAATTGAATAAAATGAATTTGATGAAAGGTACCTGACCGTTATTTGCTCTGCATTTCAAAATATAATATGTCTTGCGTGTTTTGGACCATAAATAAAATAATTCTGATAAATAAAATATATAATTATCTAAGCAAATCTAAACGTTTCTTCTGTGATTGAAGGATCCAGATATTTCAATAAATTCTAATTTAAATTAGTTGTATGGCAGTTAAGAATAATAAAGTATTAAACAAGTTCTTACATTTACAAGGGACTGTAATCCTGTTGTTAGAAATCGCCAAACAATTCTGTCGAGACTAGGAGTATCGATATTAGTTTTTAATATTTCGCTGAATTTAAAAAAAGTAGGCGGCACGAAAAAACCTAGACCTGGGATCGATTTACCTACGTCAGACAGGGCTTTCTACATCCAGTTCTTGTCTCGTTCAATTCCACTCAGAACTCTTCACAAAACAATTCATATGTCTGTTACAGTTCGGTGTGTACATTATCAACCTCTAAATTCTTCACAATGCAATATGGACTCCTTTGCTGAATAAGTTAGATGACTCGTATCATAAGACATCATTATAACATTGGATGTATTTGCTACAAGCAATTTGTACCTACACATAACAGCAAGAAGTATGGTTAAGATTTATCAAGTTCAACAAAATCGGCTACAGTCAAAACTAAAGAAATGGATGTGTACAACTTGATCCAAATATTTAATTTCAGCACGTATAGTATTGTGACATAATATAAAGTTATTTGTGTAACTAGTGGACTTTGCACTCGTTCACACCACACACCACACTGGACAAAACACTGTACAAATTAACGTTAGCGGCTAATTCTACTTACATTTCATTATTTAATATAACGTTTTTAAGTTAATAAGATAATTCAGTAATAGAGAGCACCCATTTTCCTTATAATACAGACTTATTTTTGATGTATCATATACAATTGAATATGAGCACAATTCATAAACAATACATTATTGAGATTTAATTTTTATCTATATACATACTTAACTTGCCGATTTATATTTCAAACGTGCATTTTTAAGAGAAGACATACAATATGGGGGTTCTGCCCGCCTATCTATCCCAGGTTAGTTTCTTCAACTTAAGGTACATTTTTCGGAAAAAAGGATTAACGTTAACTCAGGACTATAGGAGGTATGTTAATAAATAATTCAAGCTAATAAATTTTTAAAATATCGATCTTGTAATTTTTTGCTTTTGAAAAAAATAGCTGTTTTTATTGATTTTTAAATAACTAACGCAGTTTAAAAACTGTAGACCATATATAAAAATCAGAATATTATTAACATCTTTTATAGTTTTGGAAATAAAAAAATAAACAAATAAATTAATAAAAACAGCTGTTTTCAAAAAAATTAAGTAATTACCGATTGATATTTTAAAAAGTTACCAGCTGTAATTACTCATTATCATAAACTCTTTTCAGTAACATAAAATTAGTCAGGTCCCTAACTCTAATACTTTCTTAGAAAAATTTACCTTAACTTGAAAAATTTAACATGGGTGTTTTATTATTAGGCGTGCTGCCCTCCCCCCTTTTAATAGCAAACGACATAATTTTTAGTATAGTTACAATACGAAGAACAAAAAAATAAGTAATTATCTGGTTTATGAACCCTAATATTCCACTTAAGATGGCTTTTTGTACACTCCAGAAGTCTCCATTCTTTACTACTATCCAACTTATTATCTCGCTTAAGGGAAAGTCTCAGTCTGGTGTCAAATAGCTTTGGAAGGGTGGCTAAACCATTGACTAAGTTAGATAAAATTAAATCAAAGTTTCGGCAACACTCACACGTCGAGGCGTTCTGACAACTCTTAATGCCAGAGATTAATCCAATCACTGCTAACTTCGTTTATTTCAACTCTAAACTGGAATTGGTGATGTCGGCGGCAAGTTGGCTAAGATAATACTCAGCTTAAAGTACTTTTGTGCACAGGATTATTTGTAAATACGTAATAAATTATCAAGTTAAGTACGGTATCTCGATTATAAATTTATTTCATGGAACTTTACTGCTACTGGTTTTTCTATTTACCTACTTCAGGAATGTTACCAGCTCTTCTTAAATCAAATGAAACGTTTTTGACATGGTGTAAGAGTTCCTTGAGAATTTAGTTAAGTGGTTTTTCTAAGCTTTAATCACAATTACTAACACGAAGTAGACATTCTATGTTCATGTTTAAGTTGTTCCTAACTTTTGAGTAAAATATATTTCATTACTAGTGCTGAAAGTGTCATTTTCTGATACTAGCTCAAGTTTAATTTGTAAGACAAACCCTAACAAAGGAACAGAAAATTTACGTGTGAGATGAAACCGAGTATGTGAGAATTATTTTCACGTACGAGGTAAAGCCAAGGACGTAGCAAACGTACATAACGTAAAAATTATAAGTTCATGTTCAAAGGTCATCGTGCAGTAAACATGCACCAAACGCTAAAACACATAGCAAAACCAACACTAACGTACCCACCGTATGTGTTGTAACGTATTGCCAAACAGTAAAACGGATGATTAAAGTGAGAGAAATAAATTTCAAACAAATACTTGGGCTAGTGGACAAATGAAGAACTAAATTGAGGGCAAGGGATAGTACCCTACCTTTAGAAAAAGGGAAAATCAGTTGATCGTGTTCTCTTGTTCTAATTACAATTTGGGAAAAGATTACTTTCTTTGATAATAGCTGTTATTAAAACCCAACCTAATTTCTGTGCGGAGTGATTAAAAAGAAAGTTCTTGAAATGAGAGTATAAAGAAAACTACGGTATTACGTGGTATTTTATCCATAGTCGCATCTTGAGTTAAATAAAATTAGTAGTAGAGACAGTTATAGACAGTTATAGTTAGTAGTTAGTGGTAGTTATAGATCAACTGTCTATTGTAGTATCTGAAGTAAATTTAAGGTGACATCGCCATATCTTTGAATATGGATTAAAAGTTCTTCGATCAGTTATACGTTAATTTTCACCGAGCTTTATTGATACTTCTGCAACCACTACTGGATGTACTGTTTTCAGTGCCATTTCCCTCTTGCTTATTCTTCATCCTCTATACTCTTTCCTCTTTCTGTTGCAGGGAAGAGCTTCACGCTGACTATCATCCTCAACTCCTGCCCTCCTCAAGTCGCCACCTACAACAAGGCCATCAAGGTCACGGTGGACGGACCCCGGGAACCTAGGTCGAAGACGAGTGAGTACCTTCGTGAATTAAGTTAGTAAGTTGTGATCAAAGAAATAGTACTTGTCATAACAAAACATTACACAAGCTCTTAGAGAATACAAATTGTCAAACAAACAAATTTTTTTTCAGTTGATATTTCCATTTCACAAAAACGCACATAAGAAACTAACCGATAATTATTTGTGCAACGAGAGAGAAAAGTGAGCAATTGACTCACTCGAGAGAAATCCTTACTCACGAGCCGTAGGCGAGTGAGGAATGGTTTCTCGAGTGAGGCAATTGTACTTTGAACTCGAGTTGCACATTATACTTTTCCTACGGTTACCATAAAAGAAATAAATTGGTGAAAAAACATAACCTATTTTTACAAATAAAAAAAAAATCAAATCAAATCCATTTATTGCCATCAACATTATAAATACATGTATAGCAACGTCATACAATTTCATCACAGTATATCCATTAACCTACTTAATATGTTCTACAAATTCTTTGACCTTATACACACATAAATCACACAAAATCTTTCTAATAGTAAATTTAAATTGTCGTATTTCAAGACATTCAACGTGAGCAGGTAACATATTATACAATCTTTTTCCAAATTCACTTAAGTTATTGATTGTGGTCATAAAATTACATTGATTTGGACGGAGAAAAGTGTTTTGTCTGGTAAAATGGTTATGAACTGAATCATTTGTAGGGAAATCTCTTAATATTATTTTTAATATACAGTAAACAATCTAAAATATAAAGAGAAGTGACACAGAAGTGAACTTTTATTATAACATTTAATGTGAAGTGACAAATACAACAGTACAACAGCTGACCAGCTGATTTACAGCCAGTGCTGCCAAACGTATTTCGCGCGCATACGACGTTGCCTGCATGTTACCCGCTCACTATTTCGTGCCTTCACGTTGCAAATCTGGAGTGAGACAAAGTAATTAGAGTGTCACATTGTCTCACTGATGAGCGAATTGGCCACTTTGCTTTCTAAAATCAGAGAGAGAACATGTACATTGTTAGGTAACTGTAGGAAAAGTAATTTGTTGTAATGTTTTTAACAATATCACTTTTACAGCGTGCTATTGAAACGTAAACATTAAGGTATAAATCTGACTTGAGTTGAATAATGTGAGGGTTCTGAATATAAATTGAACCAAACAGATGAAAAGATCGACTGCAGACATTTTTAGTAGAATGTCACTTTACAGTTTTCAAGTAAGGTAATCGTCAAGAAGTAAAAAAAAAAATAATACTGATATTAATTTTCCTGTTATCAGCAATTTCGTCTTTTGTTTATTGGTCCTACATGAAACTTTGATATATTAAATATCGATCTGCCCTATTATTCTAATACATTGCATAACTATATTGTTCAGGGTGTACCTAAATGTACATCGTTCCCAAAACAAAACCACCTAAATGTTATTTTTTCATGAGTTTTTCCTATTTAAATTTTTTACATTTATTTACTTATAAAATAACTGAAAATCTGATTTTCACAAAGACGACTTAAACGATTTTTATTAAAGTTTTGTATATTTTGTACTTT